GACCACGGACGGCATTGATGAGACTCAGATTGAACATGAAATCTACCTCAATCTGCGATACCAGGGTACCGACAACTTGCTGATGGTGCTCGAACCTGAACACGGAGACTTTATTGCTGAGTTTGTGAAAGAGCACGAGCGCGAGTTTTCATTCACATTCCCCGGGCGCAACATTCTTGTCGAAGACATCCGAGTCCGAGGTGTTGGAAAGGCAACTTCTATTGCGCCAGAGGCACCTCAACAAGAACTCAAATCAGTCACTAAAAAGCCTGTGGGCTCAGAGAAGCAGGATGATTCATCTTCTGTCTACTTTGCCGGCGTCGGTGAAGTTACTACGCCGGTCTTCTTCCTGGATAACATGCAGCCAGGATATGTCCTCGAGGGTCCTGCGATGATCATTGACAAAACTCAAACTATTGTTGTTGAGCCAAATGCCACTGCTACAATTTTGTCCCGACATGTGATTTTGGATGTTCAGTCTTCGAAGAAGCAGACTGCCGATGCCACAGTCGTGGATCCCATCAGATTGTCGATCTTTGGTCATCGCTTCATGTCTGTTGCCGATCAGATGAGTCGGATGTTCCAAAAAACCTCCGTGTCAACAAACATCAAAGAGCGACTAGACTTCTCCTGCGCCGTGTTCTCTCCTGATGGAAAATTGGTTGCAAATGCACCAAATGTGCCAGTGCATCTAGGAAGTAAGTCGAGCCTATTTTGGGACGGTTGTTTGTTTGCCATGCTAATGTCTTCTTCAGGTATGGAGTACGCTGTTCGGTATCAGCACGAGAAATTCGGAGGCAATTTGAAGCCTGGCGATCACATTCTCACCAACCATCCTCTTGCCGGCGGAACACATCTTCCCGATATTACTATTGTCACTCCAGTCTGGGATGGTGAAGGCAAAAACATTATCTTCTATGTTGCCTCTCGTGGTCACCATGGTAAGCATGAAGCTCTTCCCCTTTCCCATGAGTATTTGTCGTATCATGCTAACCAAAACCAGCTGAAATTGGCGGCATCGCCCCAGGATCCATGCCCTCAAACAGTAAAATGCTGTACGAGGAAGGTGCCATGACAATGGGCTTCAAAGTTGTATCAGAAGGCCGCTTTGACGAGGAGATAGTCCGAAAGTTCCTATATGATGAGCCCGCTTCATACCCTGGTTGCAGCAGCACCCGCACATATAACGACAACGTCTCAGACCTGAAGGCTGCCATTGCAGCAAACCACAAGGGTGCACAGCTCCTGGAAGGTCTGGTGATTGAGAACACACTGGAAGTAGTCCACTTCTACATGGACGCAATCAAGCGCAACGCAGAGGTCGCCGTCCGTGAACTGCTCAAGTCCATCGGTCACAAGAACAAGGGAGTTCCTCTCCGGTTCTCTGACTTCATGGACGACGGCACCGAGATCAAGCTAGAAATCCGCATTGATTCTGATACTGGGTCTGCGGACTTCGACTTTACAGGCACAGGTCGGGAAACATTCAATTGCCTTAACGCCCCCAAAGCCATTGCCCACTCTGCCATTATCTACAGTCTGCGGGCGCTGATTGATGTTGACATTCCCCTCAACCAGGGCTGCCTTGCACCGGTCAATGTGATCATCCCCTCTGGCACACTTCTCAATCCATCTGGCCATGCCGCCGTCTGCGCCGGTAATCCCATCACCTCTCAGCGTATTACAGATGTCGTTCTGGGCGCTTTCAATGCCTGTGCTGCCTCCCAAGGCTGCTGCAACATCATCTCATTTGGTATGGGTGGTGTTGACCCCAAGACAGGTATTGAGGTGCCTGGATTTGGCGTTGGCGAAACAATCTGCGGCGGCTCAGGTGCTGGACCATCCTGGAACGGCACATCGGGTGTGCATGTCCACATGACGAATACACGCATCACAGATGCAGAGGTTTACGAGCTGCGGTACCCAGTCATCCTCCGCAGGTTCTGTATCCGAGATGGGTCTGGTGGCGTTGGTCGCTTCCGCGGTGGAGATGGTGTTATTCGTGAGCTGGAGTTCCGTATGCCTCTTTCGGTGTCTATGCTCAGTGAACGGCGCGTCTACCGTCCGTATGGCTTGGCAGGAGGTGAGTCTGGACAAGCAGGCTTGAATCTTTACGTGAAGAAAGAGCTCGACGGAACAGAGAGAACTATCAATATTGGTGGCAAGATGGAGCTCGTGGTCCAACCTGGGGAGCGGATTCTGATTCATACGTGAGTGTTCCAACTTTTTCTTCGTTTATCTGAAGATATATGCTAACGATTATTTTGATTTAGACCTGGAGGTGGTGGCTGGGGTAATACATCCGACGATGAACTAGTGACGAGTGACAGCAAGAGTCCTCAGAACTCCTCGACTTTCCAGCCACGAGGAAGTGTGCATGCATTCAGTGTCGCTGCCGAGGCGGCAATGTGATGGAATATGGCATATATATGAGAATTTTCGAATCATGTAATTAGATACTAATATTTTTTTGGAGTTTCGAATTATGATATGATGTCTTTCATGAATTATTAGCATTCCTTTTGTGCAAACATATAGATATGACCATCTATATCGCCTCAGTCTCAATCGCTTTTGTGGAATGCATCCCTCACAAAGGGATTGACCTGGTGGGTTGGCAGGTGATACTGGACATATATCATTCTTGTATCAAGATTGATCTAGCAATTTAGCATAGTCTATGATACCAATTCCCATATTAGATGGAGATCCTAAGATTGAGGTTAGAATTGAACCGTAAGAAATCCCATTCGATTGCTCAATCGATCATTAGATGAACTAAAATAAATCAGAAGAAATCATGGGTGGGTTTTCTTGTAGATATGGCCCCACGTGACCGTATCCCGGCGAACCAGTGTTTACCAAAAGTTTTGGCTGCCTCGATGCCCAGCGGACAAATTTACCCTTTTGTGCATTCATCTCGCAGAACTTCCCTTTTTGAGCTTTCACTTCTTCACATATCTTCATTCCACATTCACCCAATCTCTTGACTGCATCCCATCTGCCGTCATGGAGTACCACTCCGTCCCACCGGAGGAACGCGCCAGAGATCAGGATGGCAACCTTCTCCCTTGGGGTTATGTTTACAAAGAGTACGTCCGATGAGATTGTAACTCCTCCCCTATCAAATCTGACCCATTTTCCCCAGTGAATCTCGCAACCCTCGACGGCCACCTGAAGAATCAGGACCCTTCGGCAAGAGAAGAAATGCTCGATACGATAATGCCCGCTCACGAACCCGGACTGGAACACCAGCAAAGCGCGAGAACCCCAATGTCGCTGAGTTCGGTCGGTTATTCTCACAGCAACAGCAGGACGAGGAGAAAACACACGGCTTGCCCAAGTCATCATCGTCATCCAGTCTTGACAACCAACGGAAGCAAACAGAGAAGGTTGCCACCGAATGCATACTCTATGGATACAAAAACAAGGACAACGAGTGGAAGGTGATCGACAAATACGAGCGCATCTCCCAGGGCATGATCTGCGAAGACTACCCTCGCAACGACCCGAATTCAGCGAACCACTACACACAGTTATTGAGCGGAGGCGACGTCGTCATCCGAAACCTGTCGGCTGATGCGAATCGCAAGTCGAAGCGCTATGCCGGTGGTTATCACTGGATCAAGGTCACCTACGACTCGACCCAGTCCGCAGACCGCGCGTGCTTCTACTCGCCACAGGAAATCGATGGACACTTGGTCTTCTGTGAACTGTACAGTGGCCACGGCCCAGCCGAAGACGCCCCCATCCCTGCAGACTCTGCTGCAAGCAGTCGGATCCGCAATAAAGCACCGCGCACCTTGACTACCTCGCACTCGACCGCCTTCCTCTCCAACTCCAGCAAAGACCAGGACCGCATGACATTGCCTAGATCCTTTGCTATGAACAACCTTTCCAGTGTGCCGGATATGCCAGAGGACGAAGGGCACTCAGTCGACTCCTCGACGGTTGCTGGTACCTCTGAGGATACGATTACATCCACTGCGACATCTGCAACTGCCACTGCCACACCCTCGTTCCAGCAAGGCAGTTTCAACACAACAACTTCTTCGTCAACATGGACGACCGGAGCTTCGTCCAATAACGATCGCACCTCAGTCCACCAACGCCGAGCTCCCACTCAGGCCGAACCCAACCACGACAACGAATTCATGACGCATATTCCTACCGTCCGCCGCACTAAGCTGCGCCCCATGCTCGAGGCACTCCCCCCACAGCCAACCATGACTGAGCGCATCCTCCGTTCTATCCCTATTCTGAGCTGGTTCACAGGTGACATTGTGGGCGAGGGCCCGCTGCTCCGCGAGGACGGTACATTCGATTCGGAAAAGTCTGGCCTTTATTGGAGGTTCTGGCATACGTTTGATTATTTCCTGAGAACGGATATGTGCGGACTGAAGGAGGATAGTTGAGGCGACATGAAAAACATCAAGCACCATTGAAATAGAATACCTTTTCGTCTCTTATTATTCACTACATCATGGATTTTTCCCACAATTGTGTGAAGTCTTGCCGCGATCAACCTACCGAATCGCTACGCAGCTTGGGCGGTCAATCCTCAACAGTACTGCGCGTGTCGCGCAAGGAATGGTCAATGGCTTTGTGGTAAAATGGCTCGGGCTTTGGTCGATGGATAATGTGTACGATAGCTGCATCTGATGCAGACATAATGAACTGTTCTGTTGAAGGACCGCGCACAAAATTGATATACCGTTGAACAGTAACAAGTACAATTCCTCATAGTTCTGCTTCAATGACTCTTCAGATAAAACCACCGAGCTGTCAGAAGTAAGATCCCGTCTTCCCATCACCAGGTGCATCAATAACCCTGGCACATTATAAACCCGCGCATCAAGCCTCCCCGCAAGGAAGAGACGAAACAGCCAGAAGAAAAAGAGAAATAGACTCAACAAAAAACAACTCTCAAAACGGAGCTTATATTTCATTGATCATAGACGAAAGTTTTTAGACTCGATTTAGTTCGCATCTAGGCGTATTTATTCCTTAGTCTCGAAGTTCTCGCCCTCGACGAGGTCGGGGATATCATCCTCCTCGTCGTCGTCCTTCTTATCGCCCTGCTGCTTCTGCATGTTCTGGTAGCTCTCGGCGAGCTTACGCAGGGAAGCGAGGGAGTCGGGGCCGAGCTGGTTGAGGATGTTGGGGACGAGCTCGGTGAGCTCCTTCTCCTCACCGTTGCCGTACAGGGCGAAGGTGTTGGAGGGAACGGCACCGTGGACTATTGCGACAAAATGATTAGTCTTTGTTTGCTCTCTTCTCTCTTTCCCTCTTTTTGTTCGGTTTGCGTGTTGAAAAGATCAAGGTTGGTTTCGGGGTGGTTTCTACTCACCACGGGGGTTGGCGAAGTGGATGACGTTGCCGTCCTCCTTGAACATGTTGACCTCCTCGATGCCCTGGATAGGCTGGACGTTCAGCTTCTTGAGGGCGGCCTGGAGCTTCTTGTCATCGGCGCCGGAGTTGCGGACGACCTTCTTGACCTTGCGGCGGGGGGTACCCTTGCCACTGTAAATTTGTTAGTTGGTTGGACATTTAACGGTTGAAAAATACGGTTGGCTCGGTGTGGATGAGTGGGTGAATATGGGTGGTGGGGGTGAATAAATGGGGGGGGGGCATCCGAAAAGATCGAAGGAATGCGAGGATTTATGATGACAAGACCGAAAGTCAGACTGTAATCTCCGAGCCATGCGATATCTAGATTCGGTTCGATATTTTGAGATATAGCGCCGTCGCATGGATTCCAGAATCGAGAATCCGCAGTCTGACTATCGGCTGTGTCGAATCCGGGTATTGCAATTCGAAAATTCGTTTGCTCCATAGGGAGTCGATAGGTCGGGAGGAAAACATTTCTGGACAGAAGATACATACCCTGTCAAGAAGATTCAGGTTAGCCATCAAATTTACACAAGTTCACCAAGACATGCAAGTAAATTGCATTGGATCTGGGCAGAAGAATTGGGATATGACCAAGCTCCAGGGCTACCAATTCCACAGAATCGCAGCTCCACGTCATGACCCAGATCATATCTCAAGCTCCAAAATCCTTGAACAGAGACAAAAACGTACCGATGCGAACGCTCGCCTGCATTCTAGCCAACTTTGCCTGATCCATGATGAAGTCTGGAGGGGTGATCGCCTGGCGCGGGATTAGCTGATAAATTCAAGTGTGAATTTCAAGGGATTTCAAGGGATTTCAAGAAAATTGTTCAATTAATTCAACAATTTAATCTCTTTTGCGTACCGTTAAAAAAGGGTTGAGGGGGAGATGGTAAGAGGGAACGTGAAGTGGAAGTGGGTGGAATGATGATGCATCCCCAAGAGTTTTGTGTGGGGAGTTTGACCAGAATATTCGCTAATGCGCCGATTTGGGCTAACGGGCTGTTTTTGTTTCAACGTCTACATTCTCATATGTTTTATAAATTGATTCTATTGTAATATAGTCTAACTGTTGTTCTTCTTGGTGATTTTGGTTATTCGTGAGTCCCAGGGTTGTTCGATTGTGGGATATTTGATGCTCGGCTAAACCCTAATCGGGCCTGGACGGAGTATGACGGGAGAGAGATCGAGAGTAGAGATATACTTAACTATAACCTATATATTTCAACCACCAACATTGTAATATTGCATTTGTGTTGAAAATGGATTCATATGCTACAATATCCTTATGGCAGCAATGCCAAACAACCTAGGCATATACCCAAAGCCATAAAGTGGACACAGTTTCATTCCATCTTAACCAGTAACCACTAACCACTAGCCCTCGCGTTCTCCTCTATCTCAATCTGCTTCTTCTCCCAATTACTAAAATACTTGTGCCATGGATGCTTCTCTTGAAACCCAAGAAGCTTCTTTATCTTCGCATTAGAAAACGGCGCCTCAAACTCCTCCATCTCGCGCGTGATAGGTATATCCGGGAACTGCGACTTCAAAAAGTCCTTCGTAGGACTAAGATTGGTAATGTGATCATTAGTAGCATTGAAGACTTGAAACCCAAGCCCATCAGTCCGCAAGGCCGCTTCACACATCCCGCCCAGATCCCGCACATCAATGTACGACCATCCATGCACCTTCCACATGGCCGGTTCATGAACATAGCTGTAGAAGATATCTTTGTTGTACTCATCGGGTTCGATCACGCGCCCAATGCGCAGGATGTAGATATCCACCCCGAAGCGCGCCGCAAAACCCCGCGCGGTGCGCTCGCCACATAGCTTCGCGATCGCGTACGTATCCGTTGGGTTGACATCCAGGTCCTCGTGTATTGGGAATGAGGGGAAGTCGGTATCGCCCTGCGCGAAAGCTACCCCGTACACTGTTACGCTGCTGGCGATGATGATCTTGCGGATCCCTAGCTTGCACCCTGCTTCGATGATGTTGTAAGTGCCCTGCGTGTTCGAGCGGAAGGTCTCGTTGTCTGGTACGAGCATGTTGCGCGCGTAGCCTGCAAGGTGGATTACGGCGTCTGGGCGTGGCGGGAGGCCTTCCGGGAATGGCTCGCGGAGCGTCCATTGGCCGGACAGGGCGTTGAAGACCTGGCCGCTGTCGGCGAGGTCAGTTTTCAGAGTGTGTACGTCTGGGTGCTCCATTGCCATTAGGTCCAGGTTCAGGATTTTGTGTCCGGCATTGAGAAGCTCGCTGATGACGAATTGGCCTGCTTTGCCGGAGCCGCCGGTCACGACGATGTGGCCCATGCTGGTGATAATGTCTGGAAAGACACACGGGATTGGGGGTTGAATCTCCGGTCAAGGGATATCTTGTTTGATCCTGGGGTAATCTTTGAAATGAACAAGCTACGCGGGCACTTGTCCAGGGACTGGAGCAGCATGACTGGCGTCGAAATCATCATGATGCCATTTGCCTCCATGCTCCCGGATTCTTACAGGCGGGGGAAATGGCGACGCGCATTGCAATCAATGTGGGATTCTCAATGGCAGAAAGCTGAATCGCCGATAAAATTTCCAGTCATTTCATAAATTCATACATGCCTCATTTTCGCTTCGAAACCTGAGTCTCGGTCCAATCCCAGAGCCTGTGAGCCAATTGCGCATTCTGTACAGGCGCAGTGCCACCACTGCGGTACCCAATGGGAGTGTAGTAAGCTCCATTAATAAGATTTTCCCTTTGAGTTCCAGCCGCCCAAAGAGAATTCAAGGCTCCACTAGCGACACTCCGGAAGAACGTGGAGCCAGCAAGAGCGATACCGTAATGCATCACCGAGTTGAGACTTTTCGTATGTCCATAGAGCCCGCTGTCAACCGCACCGGGGTGCACAGCAACAGACAAGATCTCAGGATGCCGGCGGGCTAGCTCGGATGCAAAGAGAATATTAGCTGACTTGGAAGCGCCGTATCGAGTCCATGTACTAGCAGCCAGCAAACCAGGGGTAGATGTAATTTCCTCAAAGGTGGAGGGGCCAACAGCGTGAGCCGCCGAAGCGACAGTCACGACGCGGACATCGGGCACCTCCTCCTTGACGCGCTGGAGCTCAATGGTCTTCTGTAAGGTAGGCAGAAGTAATTTTGTTAACAGGAAGTGACCGATATGGTTTGTGCCAAGCTGGACCTCGAAGCCCTCCTCCGTCGTGGTGGGCGGGTTACCCATTGTGCCCGCATTTAGGATGAGGATGTCTAAGCGGTCACTATCGGACTGGAATTTGTCTGCGGCGGCGCGGATAGATTTAAAGGAAGATAGATCAAGTGCGAGGAAGCGGATATCGGCAGGGGAGGAGAGCTGGCTTTGTAGCGATTCAATAGCTTCGCGCGCTTTGCTCTCGGTACGGGCGGCCATGTAGATGCGCGACGGGCGATGCTTGGCGAGTTGGAGGATAGTCTCTTTTCCTAGGCCGGCATTGCCTAGATTAATTAATTGCAGTGTTAGTCTTCTGGAAGCTGTAGATAGACAGAAAGAAGAGACATGTATATACCTCCTGTCACAAGGACAACCTTGCCATCCAGGCTGCGAATGTCGCGCTCTGGTTGGAACGAGGTCCCTAAATAGCCGAAGGTGGCTTCATTCAGGGTCGGGCCAAAGCTCGACAATGCCTCCCGAGGATGACGCAAGCTGTAGGTCGCGAAGCCACGAGTGGCTATAATATCACGGAGATCCATCTCGAATTGAAGAATATTGGGGGGGGGGNNGGGGGGGGGGGGGGGGGGGGGGGGGGGGGGTTGTGGAAGTTGAAATCAGGTTTAGCTCAGGGGCGGGAGATAAGTAGCCATGAGAGGTTAACGGCCAAGAAATAACACCATTTCTGTTTTTGCATGTGGTGAGAGATGTAAAGGAGTTTTTTTCAAGATCTCTCTAGTCTTATCAAGATTTCCTATTGGTCCACATGACAGGGATTTCGGCACAGAGTATCTATAGGTACGGAGTACGGAGTATAGGCATATAGTAGGTACTGGGGGATATATACAAACTAGGTAGTCCGTACTGGACCAGCCTGAATACTATTAAACCTGCTACTAGTACGGAGTAAGTGACAAGGAAACAATAGACCTTTGCATCTTTTGTCGATCTTTTGTACATCTCACATCAGACAATGCCAATTGGAAATTCATCGCCAAGCTAGTCCTGCAAGTCACCCCGCAGGTTGACCCCCCTTGTCCCCTTGTGTCTCTCTCGACTTTATTCTCCTGGCCACCTGTCCTGTAGACTCTCTTTTTTCTTCTCCGCGGGAATCAGGCTGTAACACCAAATTCTAAGCTGTTTCGCTATAATCTCTTGCTTGAAAAATCTACGCTTCAACATTGGAAGCATTAAGACACATTATCCAGAAGCACCAAAATGCGATTTCTTTGCTTACACGGCGGCGGCACAAATGGCGAAGTATGCATATCTTCACTTCAACATAGACAATACTAACCAGCCACAGATCTTTGAAATCCAAATTGGAGGCCTCCGCCAGATACTAGAGAAAAGCGGGCACCGCTTCACATTCATGAACGGAAAGATAAACGCCAAAGTCGAAGAGGGTAAGTTTTACTCCCGACACGCCGCTACTAACCACATGAATCATCTACTAAATCCAACTCCAACTCAGAACTTGAAGGCATAGTGGACGGCCCCTTCTATAATCACTACACTCGAGGTTCCTCACCGGGTTCCAGCGTCCTCGAAGCTTTCGATCATACCAAGCGTTTCATCACAGAAGAAGGCCCATTCGACGCGGTGATAGGATTCTCACAAGGCGCGGCACTAGCAGCCTCACTTCTAATTCACCAACACAAGACGCAACCAGCTGAACCGCCGCTATTCCGCGCAGCGGTGTTTATCTGCGGCGCGGCGCCATGGGAGAGTTCCGGACTGGAGCACATCGTGCCGCAGCCGGATATTTACCCGATTACCATTCCGACGGCAAATATCGTTGGTAAGGCGGATGCGCTATTCCCTGAGGGTGTAAAGTTATTTGAGCTTTGTGAGCCCGCTAAGGCGGCTTTCTATGATCATGGTTCTAAGCATATGGTTCCGTTTGATGCGAAGAATACGGATGAGATGATTAGGGTTATTAAGGAGACTGTTGCGAAGGCTATTAGGGGTTAGCTACGAGTGGTTGTTTGAGAATGAGATGATGGGTGGAAATTTGAAGATATAGGGATTCTATACACTACCAACTACCGAAGTGATGCGCTTCCTACAATCTTCCTATGTCGGTGCACCCTACTCAACGTTGATCCCTCCTAACAAGTCTTGTAATTAAATATCTTCTGTATGGCATTCGCATACAAAAAGTACAAAGGATGCAAAATCCGTAAGTCATGGCGGGCATATACTAATTACGTGATATCCTGTGCATATAGCCGCATATGCGGAGTACTACATAGACTATGATCTTAAGGATCCGCCCATCCTATTGTTCACTTGTTCACTAAGCCCTAAAAAATCTGGGAATGAATTCTTATCTGTAGGAAGACCTGAAAATTTCATGTGACTTGGAGCTAAGTCTGGCTCTGAGCGTGGTTGGCTGTTAGTGGCCCATCGTTGGCTGAACAGCGCCTAAGCAGCGCTTTTGGTAGGTCTGAGCAGGATAAAAGTGGACCAACAGGAATAACCGATGGGTTTTCTAAGATGTATGTGCAATGCACATCCTTGAATGTGTAAGTACTTTGTTCCAGTGAAGTCAGCGGCGATTAAGAAAAACAGTTCACAATCCCCCATTTCAGTTTAGTGAAACAACTAGACTTCCCTATGCATACATCTAAATTTAAATATTCGGGCAAATTGTGTGAGCGCCTAGCGGTAGGATGATAGCGTTCAAAGTGTGAATCATGTAGGTAGGTGTGATTCTCAGCGCTTGGGCAATGAATTAGTTGTTTGGTTGAGCGTAGCCGGTAGGAAACCGATGCCCCCATATTTCCAGTTGCGCTACTTTACAAGTCCCTCATAATTTCCAACAAGTAGCTGCGAGTTACAACGACGTTCTTTAGAATTGACGTGACGAGCATTCCAATCAGTATCATGGTTAGTTGGCGGGTGTTCACCCCGTGACTTTGCTAATGATGATATAAGGACCCTCTCTCTATCACCGCCAACGTCTTAGCCTTACTGGAAACATCAATCAATATCACAGGTCGACTCAGGATTGCCTACTCATCCAGCTTGCTAAAACAGCACCATGAGGAGTTACAACGTACCGAGAGTGTCATACGGGTTGTTCACAGTGAAGGATTTCTTGAGACAGAAGCCGTGACATCCGAGTTGAACAAATTGAAGAATCTGTCACAGGAGCTCCTCACGCTTCTTGAACGACTAGATTCAGGGAAGAAGTCTATTCCACGCCAGATTGCCTATCAACTCGCGAACGGATCACAAGATGAAGAACATCTCGCCAAGATTGTGGAAAGAATGAACACTGTGAAGACAAACATCATCCTGCATGTACAAGTTGCCGGTGTTGGACTTACGCGTGATGGCCAAAGCATCATTGCCGCCAACGCAGCCAAAATTAGCCAGCTTGGCCGGACTGTAAGGGAGTTACTTGGTGATGGACAGGGATTGAGGATTACGAGTCTGATGAAAGATCAACCTCTGCGTGGTAAGTGTTAGATAAATCAATTTTGAAGGATATCGGGTTAAACTAATCATGTATAAATAGAAGGCGGTACACCTATTCTAGACTCAGATGATTTGAATCAGATTGGCGTATCGATTCGTAATGGAGGAACTACTCGAACGATTATTGGCAACTTAACGAGACCACAAGCGCTCCAGATCAACGGACCAGTCGGCAAAGATGAGTGGAAGACCATCAGTCATCTTGAGATTAGAGATAATGAGGCTGGCCCAGCTAGCTCACAGGTCAACTATCCTGTTTCTGGTATCGTTTTTGCCTCTCTCCTGTTTGACCATGCCATCAAATACGTGTTGCTATTTGTTTTGATCTACCTTGTTTTTTAAGAATTTCTGTACCCGGTAATGTCTGGCACTCAAGAGTCAAGACCTTATCTTTCCGTTTAAGATTTACAGACACTTAAAATCCAGCGACACTAGACCGCTAAGCAACTTCCAGTATGTTTGCCGCTGGCCTTAGTCCTTAGCATATGTAATTTAGTAGGTATCCCTATAAAGTGAAGGTATGATCTTATGTTGTATAAAAAGCTTCATTTTTCCTACTCTGCCTAAGGCTAGCAGAACTTATCCCCGTCTAGACCTACTGTCGTTGAAAGTTAACACCGAGGCGGCTAAGTGTGTTTGGACAACTGGGGGCAAACCCCAAGGACTAACTGTAAAGCCAGAAGGGTGCTTCAGGTAAATCACAACACTATTGAGATTCCTCAATTAAGCGCACATTAACATGCTGACATCTCTTTCCTGGCTCAGCTGCACACCCAGCGTTATACATGAATTCTTGAGCATATCTCTATGCAGTTTTGTCACATAACTACTCTCTCCTTTGGAGACTGGAATGTTATCTTGGTCCTCCTTTGTGATTCTATACGGTACATCTCTTCTCCCTGTCACTAAACCATAGAATCATCCATGTAATATCATTGTAGTAAATCGGCTTACTAGGGTTTTACTCCACAAGGAAATATGTTTTTCTGTTGACAAGACTGTGATTAGTTCGCGCTCGTTCTAACTTATGTTCATCTAATAAACCATTTATACACAAGCAAGCGTACGTCCAAGTCGAGGTAATCAGGCAACTTGCGTGGGCGCGTAACCGTAGGATGATACATTTTCTAACACGGCACAGTTCTTAGCGCCCATGTGATATGTGCTGCATCTGATCTAACTTCATTGGCCGAGAATTTGTGCCTTTCCCCCCAGTTTTAGCCTAGCCAATTTACAAACGTCGCAAAGCGAAAAGTACATGCCTCTGACCTTCTCAGGGCTTGAAGAAACTTCACAGATCATCATACCCCCTTCACCCAACGTTTGGAGTTTCAGGCCTCGCGCAGTCATCTGAAGCGAAACATTGCTTTTTTTCTTCATGGATGCGGATCAAGCGCCGATGTATCATATCGTGCGCAACAACACTACGATGGCTCTATCGGCTCAGGTCAATGGTGACGTTAACCTCAACTTTGGTGGTACGTCCCATGTTATTTTTCACATATCTTATATGGACTGACCCTTGGTAGTGCAAATAACGATGAAAGAAAAGATCAAGGGAGCTCTTGTCAAGAAACTCGGCCCTAGTCCACGAAAAAAAGATGTGCACCCTCAAACTTGCAAATGGCTCGGGGATATTCCAAACTTTATGTCCTGGAATAGCGATGGAACCAACATTCCCGGCTTACTCTGGATCTGTGGGGGCCCTGGAAAGGGGAAGACTCATCTTGCCACATACTTAGCTAGCCAACTTGGAAAGAAGGATATGACACTGAATTACTTTTGTGATGCAGGAGACATACTGCGTCCCACAGAGCTGTCAGTTATTCTTGGCCTATTGAATCAACTGCTGGAGTCAGAGAATCCAGAGGATCTTTATAGCATACTCTCAGACAAGTTCTCTGGTATAGAGCAAGATCTTTTTAGTGACGCCTACATTGCCGATCTTTGGGGCTGTCTCGAGATGATTATACGAAAAAGATCGCAGAACCATCAGGTTTATATCATTTTGGATGGCCTGGATCAATGCGACAGCTCTTCAGGAAGCCATTTGACGAGCCAGTTGAGAAAAATATGCAGGGAAAATCGCCAAGAAGAGAAAAACCGTGTGAAAACCGTGATCTTCAGCCGCCCATCTGATCTGCATCGTCAAGCGGACCTGATGATTGATCTAAATAAAGACGAGACAGTCAAATGGACCGAGGAAGACATCCGAACAATTGTCAAAGAAAGTTGCTTGCTAGAGCAAGGAGAAAAAGAATACTGTCACATCCTGACCGAACGAGCCAACGGGACTTTTCTATGGGTTGCATTGGCTATTTCCCTTCTCGATAATAGGCGATCCCAGCAGAGAATAGTCGACGGTGATTCGGCGTTCCTTGACAAGCTACTTCCGATTGAACTAGATGCAATGTACAACATTATGCTTTTCAGCATACTTCAGCGTGTGCACGGAAGGTCTCAATGCAAGGAAATGATGAAGATCTTTCGTTGTCTGGCCGTCTCATTACATCCACTAACCAAGCAAGAAGTGGGCGCCATTACTGCCCTTGACACTTTTGTAGTAGACGACGCACTACAGACCTTCCAGGACATTCTTTCGATCACAGGAAAGGGCTCTGGTACTGAGGCAGTGGAGTTGATCCATTCATCGCTAAAAGAATTACTTTTACAAAGTTCATCGAGCATAATTCTCGAAGAGATATGCTGGTCAGTTTGGCCAACGCTGTCCTCCACAACGAGTTGGCTGCGCAAAAATCGCTTCCAGCTGTGGTTGTTGGACTATGCTCTTTTGACAGCCACGGCTCTCTGTTTTCCAGGACCTCTATATAACCACCCAGCAGTGATCTTTGGGTTCCTTTGTTGTATTTTACAGTTTGTTTCTCGGGCACATAGGTCATCATTATTGATATGCCTGCTCCACAAAGCCTTCGAACAATTGATCGACAAAACAATCATGATCATTTTTTCCGTTTGTGAGAAGGAAGCACATAACTTTATGTTTGAAAAATTCATTGCATCAATGATTAATCGAGGCAAAGCCCTTGAAGGTGTTACGTGTGGCACTGAACATCCAGGGTCCCTTGCAAGCAAGACGAATGCAGAGGAGTAGTACCCAGAGATCATGAGACTGAAATCATCAATGTAGCTTCATATTGGGCTTGCAACAATATGATGACGAGAAGATGCCGAGATAGTGTGACGACCCAGATCAATCTAATTAGAAATAGGACATTACAACTAGAATTCTAGTACACTCCTACTACTTTTGTCATATAGAAGAGTTCGAGAGATCTAATGGCTTAGGTGGTTTACTTCATAGTTGAAGTGTCTATTAGGCTGGTATATCTGAGGCGCATTCTAGTGCGAGAGTCAATATAACGGTCCGTATCACTTGAAATGTAACCTCAATGCCAGTAGATGATACGAAAGTGATGCTAGCTCCCATGCAAACCACAATATATCCCATTGTATTCTTGTACTATATGTCATTTCTCACAGCCATTTTCATAGGTTGATCCATTCCTCTACTCGACAGACAGAGTTAGCCAAGTTTCTTAGGAACTCAACATTCAGCCCCTCGGCTACAGCAGGCCAATAGGCCATAAGCTGCAAGGGAATCACGTTGAGCAGACCCTAGAGAGCATCAATGGTGCGAGGACCTCGATCCTTTCGCTCATGTCACTAGGGAACTCGGGATTGTCGGTGTTGCACATGACTATAAGACAGCCATTATGCGCAATAACCTAGTTATAGGTGTTAAGTGACTTAGCGAAGTCATCATCACGGGTCAGGATGATGACAAGAGGCAATGCCTCTTCTTGATCTAGTTCAAACTACGCCACATTCTGGGGCCATTGTTAGCCACTCTCAGCAACTTTATGCGAATGACATAGGTCAAAACAAAGAAGGCACACTTGATTCACCAGAAGGGCCACCAGCAATATGGTGACGTGGTGAGATTGGGGCCAAATATGGTGTCGGTCAGTGATCCGGGGGCAAATCATCTACCCTATGAGAACGGGTTTTGTCAAGGTATGTTCGATAGATCTTCATGGTTCATTGACTATCTATATAGAAGCCAATCTTCATACTCTTCTCTGCTATGGAGAGTGATTTCTATGCTCCTCTCCGGCCCTACACCAAGACCGGGGATGCCATTCCCAATGTATTTACGACAATAGACGAGGACCTCCACATGAAGCTGAAATATATAGTATACTGGCCAACAATGCAAGTTCGTCACTGCATGGACAATCTCCAACGTCCTAGCCGGCTCCGACTCTGTCAGCACGGTCACAAAAACCACCATGTATAATTTTCTAGCCACCTCTTGCACCCTTGAAACCCTGCGCAGCGAACTCCTCACGGTGAATGTCTCGCGCCCCTATCCACGTTAAAGGGAAGTGAGTGGACTACCTACCATACCTAGATGCGTGTGTTCAGGAAGCCCTTCGTGTCCATCCTCCCTTTACTATACCATTGGAGCGTATAGTTCCCGATGGAGGAATCTTCATTTCTAGACAGCATCTTCCGGCTGGCACTATCGTATGGGCGAGTCTAGATAACTAACGTATTTCACTACCGAGCCGGCCACACCACCGAGTCGGCCACCCCCCAAACACATAGTAAATGCGATAAATTACAACTTGATATCTCAACAAGGGTCTTTTATATAATGATTTCCCTTTAGACTAATTCTTCTAGCTTCTCTAGCAAGTTTGGGAAATATATGTGACTTTGTGATTGTAGTATGTATATTTCTGGCTTTGAGCACTGTAATTTTCAAAACCGTAATGATGCACCTCTTCGATATTTTTAAGATTGCTATATAGTATTTAAAATTCTTATCAATAGCTATCGATAGGTAATAAAATCAAATAAAAACGTGGTTGTTGAGATATCAAGTTGCAATTTATCGCATTTACTATGTGTTTGGGGGGTGGCCGGCTCGGTAGTGAAATACGTTAACGTATTTCACATGCGAGTGGCCCACACAAGCGAGTGGCCCA